CCCCAAAACCCCAAAACCCCAAAACCCCATTCGACAAATTTATATTAAGATAATTTCAAAATTCGTAGAACTAATAATAAAAATGTTTTAGACAAACTTTGTGATATTTAATGCTGCTAACCAAAAGATTCAATGTATCATTAATTAATTTCTAAGTCTAAAGAGCGATTTTCAGTGAGACTTTTACAGAGAAGCTATTGAGACTAAAAATGACAACACCTAGCAAATAAGTAAAATTGAGCATTCGCTAAATGATTTTTAGAACTTAAAAATTGATTTGCCATCCTTATTTTATCGCCCATTGTAACCACTCCCTGGTAGAAGATTTAGAGAATAGCCTTATTTCCCTGAGCTATAAATATCTAGCCCTATATTTTTGAAAGGGTTAGCTGGTTCAATGGTCTATTCTTCTAAAAAAGGATTAGGAAAGACATTGAAGTATTAGTATAAACAAAAAAGCACTGATTAAACAAAAAAATCCTTAACAAAGTTCAAAATTTCTCTTGATTAAAAAAATAAAAAAATGCCTTTAGAATCGAAAATTGAAATTTCAGGATACCCTAAAAAAAACATAGAATTAACAGTACATTTATTTCATCTTGAATATGTCTTTAGTTTGATTTGAAAACAGTTTTTGGTAGCAGCTTTAATGAAACCTATTTATAGTCAAAGTTTTAACCAAAAATTAAGCTGAACTATCTAAAAATTTTTATTTTCAAGTTTGATCATATAGCTGTAAGTGAAATAAATTCAACATCACATAATTTTCAAATTAATCCATTTTATGTAGATGAAATTTAGTGACATGTTTAGATTATAGACTGCTTCATGCTAGTTTAATCTTTAGACCTCGTTATTCTAAACAGTAAAATTAAGTAATAAAAATTATATGTAATACATTAATCCTAGGCCTTTTTTAAAATATCAGACTATGAGATTTTTAACTCAATTCAAGATAACTTGGATTACATTGGGAAATTTCTTCTAAACTTGATTTACTATTGCTAGAGAATAGTTAATTTCAGCCATAGTCCTAGTCTATGTACAGTCTTAGGCTCCTTAGCTAAAATATGAAACACAACAATTATGAATATGCTATTGATCTGATATATAGCAGTAATATATTGTAGGAATTTGACTTTAAGTATTTGAATGCTAGAGCAGCAATTGTATTTGAACTTCATAATAAAGATAAATTAGGCTTTAGAATTCACTCTACAGGAGAAATAGCAATCGCTTACAAGACCTAAATTACTGAAGATTGTAAATTTCTGATTTGTAATAGAATCAGAAGCACTAATCAGATACCCTTTTGTTATGATTTTGGATTTTAATTAGATATTAACTTGTGAATTTATATTCTTAATTAGGGGTTTTGGGGTTTTGGGG